ATAAATACATTGCTCTTTTGCCTTCTCAATACATTTTTAATATTTTGCCTAATAGGGGACCTAATGACACCCAGCTAGTATGAGTGATCTCATGGTTTTTCTGTTCCTTTCCTTCTGTTTTTAATGATGTGACAGACATTACAACATACGCTTAGTGTTTTCATTTATATCTCTCTAATTAATTGTGAGATTAAAGTTTCCTATATCTCCATATATTTCTTAATCACTTGTTTACTCTTTGCTGACTAGTTGCCCCAGATTTATTTTCAGTGTTTCTTAACACAACCATCATATAATTAGACCTATCCAATCCCTACCTCCTGTGAATTATATGGCCTTTGAGCATTTTTTTAGTTGTTTTTATCTTAGTTTACCTGTTGAATTAGAACAATATTGGTATTATATTTACCCCTTACTTGTTTTTGTAATAGTGAAGATTGAACTTAATTCTGCCCCTGTACCACTGAGCTACATCCCAGCCCTGGTCTTTACTTTGGATTCACAGGTACATATTTCTCTTTTCAATTATGGATCACTATATTCAATTATATCTTCAATATATTCTCTCACGTCAGAAATTGTCTTAAATTCAGTTTAACCAAAATTAAACTCATTGTTATGGCTTGTATCTAGATGGGTGGGCTTTATGAAAGTAGCTGGATATACGGTATGTGAATGTGGATTAAGGGTGTGATCACTGAATTAGTCCAAAGATGGGCTTAGCATTGCTCTGGGTATGGGTGATGGGAAACCCCAACCTTGGTGTGGTTGGCACCACTCAAAAGACTTGTAGCTTGGATAGGGTAAAAGGGACAAGCTGTTTGCTGCTATGTGCTGCCTCCTGACTGCCTGCTGTGAACTGTTTCCCTTCTGTCACGTCCCTCTGCCATGCCACCCTGCCTTGGAGCCAGCTAACTATGAACGGAAGCCTCTAGAAATTGTGAACTGTACTAATCATTTCCTTCTTTAACTTGTGTGTGTTGGGTATTTTGTCCCAGCAATGAGAAAGTAACTAAGATACTTTTCTTGCTACCGTCCATTGACATTTTGCTTGGCTAAGAGTCTAAAGAGTTTTCCACTTAGTGTTATAACTTGTACCATCAAGAAAGTTAGCTGTGTACCTTGTGAAAGTAGCACTTCATTACTTCAGGGTGCTGCAAATCCGCGTGCAATCACACAGACAGTGGAACTGGGTAAGCACTGAGACTTAGGAAGCATCCTGATTTCAGAAAACTTACGTACTTTTTAAAGTGCATGTTATAATTTTGAAATGCGATGCTTCTCTTTACTGTCTCTGCCATCACAATCGTCCCAGCTGCACAATTTCTTGCTTAGACAAATGCAATGGTTGCCGGAGTAGTTTCTCTGCATTTATATCCCCATGAAAACTCATCTGCCCCTAGCAGCCAGACAGTCTGCACCGACGATAAAGTCACGCATGCCGGCTTTTTCCACTGGTTCTGTCCAATGACTTCCTACTACACTAAGAATAAAGACAAGAGTTCACTGCTCGTCAGCTCTTGCAGGGTCGGCCTCCGTCTCCTCTCCAGCCTCACCGTTCTGTTTTACTCTCTCCGATCCAGAGGTCGGAGGAAATCTGCTTCTCTGTTGAATATTCACGTAAATCCTGCTCTCCCCGTATACTTCTCTCCTTGAATAAATTATCCTTGTTCTTCAGAACTCAGCTCAATTTACCCTGGCCTCTTCAACCAGGAAAATCACACATTAATGCCATTTGTACAGCACCTCACATTGTACATTGTAATTATTTCTGTGACTGTTAGGTTAGACTACAAATTCTGTAAGGATGAAGACCAGGCTTACTACTTTACTGTCAGTGACTAGCGAAGGTTCTTGAAAAGGCAAATGATTGCTCTGTGTTTACTGAATGTACAAGAGAAAAAAGGGTTCTCGCTATACCTGAATGGGGTCATATAGGTTATACTAATACAGCACCACTTCACAGGAAGCATCGCATAAATGTTAGTTCTTATCATTATGATTGCTGATTCCCATTCTTTATACACATCGCCCGATTCTCATCCAATTTAGAGTTAACATTTCTCACATATCTTCTCTAATTTCAGTGCTTTTGGAATTTGATGGGACCCAAATGATCTCTCTCAGTTGTATAATAGCTATAGCTGCCCTAAAACCTTGGTTTCCTTGACATGAATTTACTAAAACATACTGAATTGAGAGTATTGTAAATTGAAACTCTCCAGAGAAGAATAAGAAACCAAAGGTTAAATATACCCTAACTTAAGATGTTCATGTGTATAATGGTTTATCTGGATTTTTGCTGTGGTATAAAGCAAAAGAGATACACAATCTCAAGAGAAACCAGAGTATGGTTTTTGTTTATGGTTTGTTTGTTTTTTTCTTGGTAAAAATAATAGATTACAAGTTTCTTTAAATTGCTTCGCATAATACTTCTGTTTAAGCAGTGCCAGTATTTCATTTTAATCATCTCTATCCATTAAAATGTATGTATATTTTCTTGCTCACAGGCCAATTCTACTTCTGCATTAATCATTAAAATTCCTTCTGTACAACATTAGTAGAGAAAAGAAGCCTATAAAAATGTTCCATTCACATTATCATTTCTGTGTATTTGCCTCTGCCTAATTGGAGTTTCTGGCAGCTATTTCATGATCATTATACATTTATTGACTATGACTGTGGACAGAAACAAGACTAGGTGCAAAGGATACAGAGAAAGATTAGAGTCATGCAGCAGAAGCTCTCCCAAGTCCCTTCTGTTTTCTTCTTCAACATCTCACGACACTGGACAGGTTTATTTTTCTTTGAAAACCTGCAGAAAAAGCTTGCTGTTTCAGTTAAAGGCCAACTAGCCAAAATCACGTTACACTCACAAACTGAGCCTCATCTCTACTCATACCATGGATATCTGTGGTGGAGCCCATCATTGCCATCAAATCTTTTTCTTGCAACCTTCACCTTGTAACTTTACAGTTTCTTGCCTAGTCGGACTTGTTCTCTCTTTTATAAATTTTAAATTTATTTTAATATAACACAAGCAGATAGTATAAAGAAAATATAAAAGCCATTCATTCTATGAAAGAATAATTTTTATAACAAAAATTATTAGGGAATAACAGTGGTAAATCACTGTGCATCTTGATCTAAATTAATATGTTTTTACTTGCTATTCTCTCCTCATTTCCTAATAATGCCATACCTTTTTTTTTTCTTAAAGCAGTTTAAATATTCACAAAGTATTTCACATTCTGTATGGACTTGTTCTCTTGACTTTCTGTCATTGTCGTGTGAAACACATACTCGAGGTAGTGAATAGTCCAGCAAGAATGGAAGGCAGGGAGCCCATATCCGGATGACTCCCGGCCTGGAGCCAACCCCAGCTGAGCCCGAACTACCGTGGATCAGCTGAAGCCCAGCCTGACCCATAATCCTATAAACAAGAAAAGCAATGCCCGTTGCTGTTTGCCACTGCTTTTGAAAAGCCTTATTATCTACCTACGGCTGACTGAGACACACCATCACTGTTTAGATAATTAGGAACAACATACTGGATACATGATACACTCTGAAATAGATCTTGAAGGAAAGCCTCCCTGAAGAACCGAAAGCTTCAGCAAAACACTGTAGAGTTGCAAAATCAATAGGCCAGCATTTGTCACTCACCCCGGAGCCACACTAAACTTCTGTAAGGCTTGGTTTCCTTGGCTGTAAGTTGAAGACGGCAGTGCAACCTGGCTCACAGTATTTTAAAGACTCAGTAAGATTATACCTAGCACAACAATCTGGCACACTGTGTTCAACACGTTAGCTACATTATTGTGATTACTTTTATCATTATCATTATTATTGCATTATTGGCTATAAATATCAGTTGTGATCATTGTTATCCATGCCATTTCATTTTTCCTTTAAGAATAAAAAGTGCTCAGTTTCAGAAACACTGGCCAACTACACTTCTATTTCTCAATCTACTTCAAAACAATTACCAAGTCAAGAACTCACAATCTTTTTTTTCCCATTTATCTATTGTTCACTGTGTTCACTTTGGCAAAGATTGATAGACAGGAAATGCTGCTAATAAGATGTGGCTAATGTGAGTTTAAAAAACTCTGCTCAGACGAATGCTTCTCTTCATATTAAAGACCAATGCATATCTTTATATCATATATTTATTTGTTCATTTTTAAAGTTTGCCTCTCTCAGTGGTAAGCAAGCTCCTAGAGAGAATAAGTCTGGTCTCTGGCTCAATGCTTCCTCCCTAAAACCTAGACCAGTACCTAACGTAAGGTACTCAGTAAATAATTGCTGAACAAATAAGTGAACAAACATATGTAATTAAGAAATGTTAAAACTTCAAACATTTTGACACGAATTGTTTCCTTTAATTTTATTTATTTATTTATTTATTTTTGGTACTGGGGATCAAACTCGGATCCTTGTAAAGCAGGTGGCAGAACCAATGAGCTAAATTCCAGGCCTTGTTTCCATTAACTTTTATAGCAGCACTAAAAGGTCAGTGTGTTATCCCAACCCTACTGATAAGAAACCTGAATTTCCCTGTCAGCTGCCTAGTATCTTAGAGATTTTGGGAATGAAGCCAAAGCAAACTCGAAAACCCTACTCCTCATGAGTACCTACTACTTACTTTACTTAAAACCATCATTTTGGCATTATTTATGACTTAGAGAACTCAAAAGGCTGGGCCCATTTACACAAAACCAAAACAGAAGAACATTCACACATAAGAAGAAATCCTAACTCTAGTTTCTCATTCGAAAGAGATTTATACTAAAGGCAAGAATTGAGAGTCAGTAATAGGAAATGTATTTTATGATTATTCATCTTCAGTGGATAGTTTCCTTCTTTATTCTGGTGAAGGTTTTCTTCTTGTTTTCATACATTTATCTTTTGGGTCAGAGAATTGCAGTTCTTAGAAATGAAAACCGCTTCAAGAGTCTGGCTCCTGTATAGTCATATATTGCTTTGTTTTCTTTCAGGACCTCTCACTTTGGAAGGGAAATTGGTTTTCCTCGGATTCCTGAATCAGGTATGTGGTTTTCACTCACCTGGGCAATGTCACCTGAAATTCAAGGGCTGTGACTCCGAGATGTGTTATATTCAATAACAGTGAGAGGGTGAAGTAACAAAGTATGCCTCGATTTATCTCAGGATAGACACGTAGACTCAAAAAGTTCAAATTTCCCCAAGGGAAATTATCTGTCCACTTTGGTTCCTTAACCAGATTGCACAGAAGTCCATGTACACCATCAGACTTAAAATGGATTGGACTGAAAGAATTAATAGAGACTGGCAGCCAGAGACAAATTACTTGTGTGCCATTGGGCAAGGTATATGATTGTATATCTTTGAGATGTTGCTGAAACTCACATAAGGCCTTGGAGATACGTTGGATTAATTTTTAGAAGTGATTTTTCATTGTCTAATTGACCTGTTGTGGAAATACACCCTGTGCCATTAGAAAGCTTGTAGGCTTTGGCTGTTCTGAGTATCTGTTGGCCCTAGACCTTAATCAAGCATTTCCTGGAGAAGCTGAACTTACTATCTCAGGGAAATGGATCTTTTTACCAGTTCTTCCTTCTTTCAGAGGCTGGAAGCTTCATGCTCAGAGAAGGGAGTACAGTGGTTCCCTGTCATCTGTGGGAGAATGTTCCGTGGGACACTTGAAACACAGATCCTACCTGTATGAACGTACACTCTGTATGCACACACAAAGTTAATGCCATTTCCATTTTTAACTAAGCTCTTATCACACACTGTCACTATGACTTTTGCAGTTCAGGGTGTGACAGCAAACCTAGCATAGACTTCTCTTCCTCTCTCACAATTTCTCTGATGGAAGATTTGTTCTTGTCATAATGTCAGCATTTGATTTTTCCCCCTTTTTCTTATTAAATTGAGAACTTCTACACCTGCCCCTTAGGGAAGCACTCTGTGGTTTCTCTTGGCACACCCCGCTGTCCGTGTCACTCCCCTTGCACTTTGGGGCCAGGATGAAGTAAAGTAAGGATGACTCGAACACTAGCGCTGTGACACCTGAGCGGAGCACCGTGAGTACCCTGAGGTGACTGAAGGGCAGGTGGCTTGTCCAGCCTGGGTGTGCTCGACAAATGGACGGCTCACACCTCTCCTGGGACTTGGTGGGACAGAGTACGATTTCACCCTGCTGCTGTGGACAGAGTGAAGTTTAAAGTGTATGCCTTGCTTATTCCTGGAATTTTCCATTCAATTCTCATTTTTAGATCATGAATGACCACATTGGAAGCTACAGAAAGTGAAACCACGGCTAAGGGGGGCTGTTCTATATCTTTCCCCCAAAGAATTTGGTATCTGTAGACTTAAATCTTAAGCAAAATTATTAGTACATGTTTGCAGTGTATAATGATTATTCACATTCTTCGTGGAGAGTTAATACATGTCCAGAACACATCTCAATGCGTTTTACATACACTTCCACTTTGTCCTTTCCCTCCTCCCTCCATTTCTTGTTCACCTTCCTGTTTGCAAAGATTTATCTCCCTGTTTCCTAGAACCTGTCTTTTATTTTGCTGTTTATTTGTACGTTGGCTTTCCATATATGAGAAAATTCATGATATTTAAACTCGTGTGTCTGATTTATTTCCCTTAATGTACAGTTTCAAGGTGCATCCTCTTGCCTACAAATGACTCATTTATCCTTCTTTATAGCAGAGTATGTTTTGGTTTCAAGTGAAACAAACCCACTTAGACTAGCTTGAGCAACGCAGGGAGATTGTTGATGGATCCTGTGGCTATTTTACAGGTGCTGAGAGCATCTAGCTCGGTGACTTGGACTGAGAGGCAGCTGCCATTGTGAACATTTTTATCAAGTAAGCATTGCTGAACTTGCTGAGAATTAAGAATCATCTCACCCGGCCAGGATACACAGAGATTCCTAGCATCGTGATGCAATTATTTTTCTAGCAGTCTAACACTGCTTGTTTTTTCTTTTTTCTCTAAGTGCAAAGTGTTTGAAGCTCCTTCAAACACAGGTTGTTGACAAAGGAAGCACATCCTTCACCTTCACCCTCACCTGCAGTTGGAAAGAAACTTTCCTCTCTTTCCTATGAGCTCCAGAAAACATAATACTTGCTTTCTTCAAATTATGGACAATTATGCTTGCAGGTAATTAGACTGCTTAATGCTCTCATTGCTGTCTCTCTGACAGGGAGAGAGTACAGCCTCCACCTCAAAGTGGATGTCTGGAGCACAGGACTCTTGTGCAGAGCGGATGGAGGACCTGACCCTGACCCAGAAACCATCGGGCCCGGTCACTCAGACTGAGTGTCATTTGTTCTACCTATAAATATTCTGGACTAGCATTTTATGCATTATGAAAAAATAAATATGCTGGGAACTCACATGTTGTGAAAGATTAATGTCTGTAAACTAGTAGTTAATATGATAAAAACTAAAAAAGTTAGAGAAAAATGTATGAGACATTGCAGGGACCCTTTTAGTTGATGCCAGTTGTTGGTTTTGCATCATGGAGCTATTAAGAAAATGTATCAGTGCTTCTTATCCTTGAAATGGATGGAAAGATTTATTGTGTAGATCAGTGACAATTTGGAACTAACAAGTATTCTTGTATTTCTAATTTATTTTGACACCTCAAAGTTTGGTGATATCTGGCAAACTGATTCCCAAATTTCATCTGCTACTCAAGTGTTGTTAGTTGCAGACTAAAGATATTTAACTCAGTAGGGCATTTCAGCTCCATTTTTGATATTTTAAATGAAAAGAATATGTACTTTGGTATTAGGCATGCAAAATTTGGAATCCTTACCATAGAGAAATTAAGTGACTTTTCCAAATTTTCAATGATCTCCAAATGTTCTTTGTAAGTGAAGGGGAAATTGAACCTCATAGAATTGTTATGAAGCTTCAAAGAAATATTGGCTATAATCAGTGAGTTGAGTGATACACACCATATGCAGTAAATAACAGTTATTTCTAGTGATAGAAATAAATGTAACAAATCAATGTAACACATAATAGCTCTATCCCAAAAATCAAGTAAAAGTTGTATTTTACAGAATGTAAGATCTTGGAAGATCAATGTTCCAGAAATGAAGGCATACACTTACTAGAATGTTGTGGAATTAATCCAGTAAGAAATCTAACCAATCATTTAGTAAAAAACTACCCTGGGTTAGTAATGTGTAACATGAACACTGCAAAAACAGTTATGGGAAAAAAATGAAATAGAAAAGAGAGAGAGATATCATAGTATTTTAATCTTATAAAATTGTAAAACAATGCATATGATATTACTGCAATTCATGCCAGTACTTTCTCAACTGAAAAATTCTTCCATAATGGAATTTTAAAAATTCTATTTGTATTAGTCAGCTTTCTGTCATGTGACAAAATACCACCATAACTTAGAATGGGGAAAGGTTTATTTTAGCTCACAGTTTCAGAGGTTTCAGTTCACGGTCTAATTGGCCTGTTGTGGGCCTGTTTGAGGGCCTGTGGTGAGGTAATACATTAAGGTAGAAGCACATGACCAAAGAAACTGCTCACCTCATGATACTGAGGAAATAGGAAGATGGCTGAGGTTCCAACATTCTCTCTTAGAGTTTATGTCCAATGACCTAACTTTCTATCCTCACTTTTTTTTTTTTTTTTTTTTTTTTTTTT